AATTCTTCAGATGATGCACAAAACTAGCCTGGTCTCCCCAAATGAACAATATTGATTTCATGCCAGCTGCTCTCATGGATTAGTTGGAAACAGAGCATTCAAATGTTCTGAATATTATCCAATAGAATTTCTTTACTTTTACTTAAAGTATTATCAGTAAGAAGCAGATTTTCAACCAATTACCAAATGGTATATTTCTGTGATGATTATTAATACAGTGCTCTTATCAATGATTATACAGATCTAAGAAAAATTACCTTTTGCCTAAGGCAAGGAGATGTATAGTTTGAAAATAAAGGAGTAAAAGTGAAAATGTGTATGACAAAAATGGGTTTTCATTCTCATCATTTAAAAAAAAAAAAAGATTTTTATTGACAAGAAAAAATTGGCAAAGGATCCTACAAATAAATTTATGAGTTATGTTTATTGAATCTGTCCCTCTCTATGTGTGACAAGATGTAGCAGCTGCAACTAGATATGGCATATTATCATCATTTAACATTACTGGTGTATGGAAAAAAAATCCTTTTTCAACAAGGTAATTAAGGTAGACATATGCTTAAGGCCCGTTCTGAATTAGAGCCATAAGCATTTTCTTTGGGCCCTTCACTTTCTACCACACTACCTAATTGACAAATAAGACATAAATGCTAGGAAAGATGAGAAGGTGGGGTAGAAAGTAGAACAAAAAGAAAGAGAGGGGGGAAAATTACAGCTCAGTCAAAACATAGACGGGGGAGGGATAGCTCAGTGGTTTGAGCATTAACCTGCTAAACCCAGGGTTGTGAGTTCAATCCCTAAGGGGGCTATTTAGGGATCTGGGGCAAAATCAGTACTTGGTCTTGCTAGTGAAGGCAGGGGGCTGGACTCAATGTCCTTCAGGGTCCCTTCCAGTTCTAGGAGATAGGTACATCTCCATATGTTATTATTATAAATATCAAGATGGTTTTAGTAATCTTGTATAGCAGCACAGACAAGGTTTTCATATCAATGACTGAACATGCTGGGGCACAATTTTAAGCAACATGTACTAAGCTACATACATGCAAAACCTAAGCAAACACTGCAAACTGGATTTTTTAGTTTGGAGAGAATTTGACAATTTCAAAATTTCTTCCATGCAGGAACACAGAAAATCAAAACATTTTTAAAATTTCTCACAAAACCAAATTGCAGTTTTGGTCACTCAAAATGTTTTGCTTTGATCTCAACTTTTTTTTATTTTATCTTATCTTATATTTTATAATAAAAAGTTTGAAAAATTGAATTGAAAAGTCATTGAAATGGAAAATCAGAATGTTCAGTTTCAAAATGGTTGAAATGGAATGTTTTGACGTTGCTTTTTTTCAATTTTCCCTTTGAAATGAATTTTTGTCAAAGGGGACATTTCTGCACGTTTCACTTTCAACAAACTGGAATATTTTTCCTTCAGAAATTTTGTCGGAAGATTTCCAACCAGCTCTAGTTAACATACCACACTTTTGAAAATGTACCCCATTTAATATTAAGGAAAAAATACTGCCCTGGAGCAGTGTGTTCTCTGCTACAGGCCTCCTACTCACGCTGGGCCTCGTGGCAGATTAGAGAGAAGAAAGTTCCTTAAAGCACATTTGTAAAGTGCATGCTCACATGAAGCATCTGTGCTAGTTATCAGTGGCCCAGATATACTCCTTCTTCTGCACACAATGGCTGTTTGGGAATGTAATGCAAGGGTTTGCAAGGTTAACCAGCTTTCTTGACTGTTATGGAGAGATCCTCCCATATTGCTTATATAGGCGGGAAAGCGGTTCCTGATGCCCTTTCCCATTTCTCAAGAAAAAGTTCAATGGAGAGCAGGATTTAGCCCTAACCCTATGATTTAAGAAAACATAGGGCCTCAGCGGAGAACCCATGCTTCTAACAGAGCCCCGAGATCTTCTTTATAGACTAGCATTTGCTAGATATATCTAAAAGCTATCAGAAAACACAAGAAGAAAGACGAGATGCACTGGATAATATGGTTCATAGTTCTGGGAAGAAAAGCTTTTCGTCACAAGATTTAATAGTGCCATTTTACAAAGTGTATTTCCTTATTATTTCTAAGCATCTGACATGGCTTTTTAAAAATTTAGAGATATTTTCAGTTTGTATAGTTAATCTATTATAGCCAAGCTGGAGATGAGAAGATTGGGGGGGAAATGCAACAAATGCTAATTCAGATTCAAAAGATAACTTAGTGCCAACCATATGCCTCACCTTCTGTATTTGCTCAAGCAGCTAAGTTTTATTAGGGTTGATACTTGCAAAAAAGCAAATTTAATTTAAATGCTCAACTATTCACTGCAAGCAAATTTTAAACTATATATATATATATATATAATTGTAATATTTGCAAGTGGGGCTATGCTGGTTAGTCTCATAAATCATCCAATCAGGGAAGAAAACACCACTACATGATTTAATTAACTAGACAATACAGCATGAATTTTGAAGTTCATAGATCAAGTATTCACAACTAACTCGTCACAGGCCATTAATACAGGTTGGAAACTGTACACCGACAGCTTTGAATAATTCTGAATAAGGAATAAAATGGAGGATTTTGCTTTCTTCTTACAAATACTTTGTAATTTGAAGAGACAACAACTGAAAAATAAATCATTTGTTTAAAATTATTAACTCAGCATAATCACATCCAAGTTATAGTCTGCTACTTTATCTCAAAACACTACTGCAGCTGGGTGAATATTGGGGAAGCCACAAATATTTGTTTACATATCTTAAAGACAAGCATTTCGGTACAAGTTTAAATAAAGGCATTTGTACACGTTTGCTGTCTGGAATGTTTATGGAAACAGAGATTTTTTTAGCAAATGTTAGAGAGAATACGTGGAAAGTGAATTTAGAATTCATAAGCAAGATTATTTACCACAGAAGCCCAATTCTAAGAGTAACACTGAGCCAGTTACGGAATAAAACATATCCTACAATAAATCTAATCAAAAACAGCTAAGACTTTTAATACTCAATCTTCTGGCAAACAAGTTACTGTACAAATATTGTATTGGTCCCAGAATTATCTGGATAATGATTTCAACTGACAGATACATTCAAGAAAAATCACAATTTTCTTGTGGTTAATTTGTGAACAGAAAAATAGTTGAAAGTCTTGCCATTGAATAAGTTATTCACTATTAATTCTCTCCCATGCTTTAACAATAAAAACAGAGGTCAGATGGGGAAAAAAACGTTGTTCTTATATAACTAGACATAATACATTAAAAAATTAGCCTGATCAACATGCACCTCAGAAAATTAGGGAAACACAAAATCAAAGGTCAAGTATGTCTATGTTTGAAGTGCAAATAATTTCTCCTAGATGTAGCATGAAGGTGTTTCTTGAAGCATGCTATTAGATTTTAACATTTCTGTTACATTTCAACTTAGTTGGCAATTGAGATGCGACCCATCCAATTATGAGGAGTACACATGCAAATGTTGACATCCAAGGAGATTTCTTTAACACAATACATTCCTTTAGTCTAGACTAGTCACAGGTAAGGACATTGCCATATGAAGCAACAAAGTGACTAGGGCCAAAAATTAGTCACAAGCAATTAACAAATATTGTCTTTTTCATTATTTCCACTGAGCAAGGACTAGCTCCTCTTCTCAAGAAGATTATTGCTCTCCCTACAATATGCAAATGAAATCTCATGTCTGCATTCTTGAACAGATGTCATGCCTCTCAATGGGTACTTGCAAAGGCACAAAAGCCACAAAAGATGAACTTTTTTTCTCTAGGGAGGGGGAGTTACAAAAGGAGTGAGCAAGGTTTCTGAAGAGGGGAATAGGACTTCAGATGCTTTTAGTCACTAATGGATATTCTCTGAATCAAAAGCTCTTAACCAGTGGGAAATGGCAAAGATGTGTGTCATTTTTCCCTACATGAAATGACAGTAATCAGCATAACATTTCCAAGACTATGCATAGAACAGAAACAGTAAGACAGCCTCATAATCTTCCATTTTCTCTCACTCCCCAATTGTTAATAAATGAGGTTTAGTTCATGTAAAAAGGAAAATTAGTATAGAAAATAAATGAAATTTAATTAGCAAAAGAAACTTGACTAAAAATCACACGCCAAAGTGTATTCAACTATGTTCGGTACTATTCCATACATTGCTGAAACCCCAGGTTTCATTTCCATATTAATCAACAGTACTCAGAGCTAATATGTGACTGTGCTCACACAACACATGGTACATAACACAACAGTGAGACTGACATACTAAATCCTCCTTAAAACATGGTTGTTCTATCGGACAGCAAGGCTCAAAAACAAACTGCAAGAGAAAAGAAAACTGCTTAACATTGGAATGCAATGTATACAAGAGTCTTTTTCAACTAGGAACTGAAAGAGGGCCCACTACCAAGAGCATATTAATTGACAGGCTAGTTATGTTTGTTTGGCCAAATTTCCTCATCAAGGTGTATACAGCAAAATAGATATTTTAACTAGATCTACTGTCAATTGCTAACTCTGTCCCCCACTCTGCCATACCCAAAAATATAATTAAGTGACATATTGTCTCCTATTCTGCCCATATAGTATGTCACTTGCCTAACATGAGCCACAACACACAATACAATCTTCTCTGGCTCCTAAAAGCAGCATGCCGTTACTGCATTCTTTATAAACATTTCAGGAGAAAATGAAGATACCATTTCCATTTTTAATTAGTTTTCTTTGAGGAAACATTATATAATCCTAAAAACATACCCCAGAGGTAATGATTTCCTTACCATGTTGTTATCCTGAGAAGGTCATTAATACAGTGAAAGGCCACCTCCATCCCTAGACAATATCATATAAGTATCTTTTTTGTCATTAGAGAAACATCCCATCTATCTAAGTAAATTATTACAAAGACGTTTAGGAAACTTTTCATTAGACATACATTTATCATGGATAAAGAACATTCAGGTTTTCCAGCAAACAGTGTCTGTACTGTACTTACCTTCCTGTCTGGCCAATTATACTTTGCAAATATTGTATCATACGTGTCGACAGCACCATCAGTGATCAGCATTATGGCTTGACTGCAAATACTCCCTTGTCCTGTGTGATTGAACTGTGAAAGGAAACAGTCATTTAAGTAACAGATTTAAGTGAGTAGATCCTATAGAGAAGCTCTACTGCGCCCAGTGAAGTAGGTTAAAGAAACCTTCACATAATTTTTGTAATCTTTTATTATATATATATTCATCTATTGTACTACACTTTGGTGTTTGTATAATAAAAGAGGTATCATTTATTATTGCGTATCCAGACTGGTATAAACAGTCTGATCAATTAGAAGATACACGTTCATAAATACAGCATCCCTAGCATTTTCCCTATCTCCGCAAAAAACAACCCACTAAATGAAAAGCCCATTTGGAACCAAATCCTCCCATTGAGTACTGTGGAATATCAGAGGGATGGTTTTTTGTTTGTTTGTTTTTTTTAACCTTGCAATCATTTTATGACATACCTTATCTATAAGATATACCTTATATATATATATCACAGTAGACATAAGCAACTCAAGGGAAGATTGGTTTCCTTAAGGAATCTTTCCCATAAAGTTTTTATTTGGGGGAAATTTTAGTATTTATATATGCATATCTTCAAATTTATCAGGCTGTCATACAACTTCTAGTGAATACCTCATAACAACTGTTTCCTCTTCTATTACACAAATACCAAAGAACAATATCATAGTATCTAAGTGCCTCACAAATATTAACCAATGTATCAATTGGTGTGTGTTAAGAAGCAATATCATACCAATTTTACAGATGAGGAAATGTGGCACAAACTCAGATAAATTAAGTCATTTCCTCAAGGTCACACAGTAAGTCAGTGCCTGAGCCAGGAATAGAACTCATATATCTTGAGTCTGAATCCAGTACACACTTGGGGGAGAGCCCAGCACCAAGAAAACAGGAGATCAGTGTCAACAAAAAGGTTAAATGGACTCAGTGCAAATCAAGAAGTGATCTGATCCTGAATTTTGCAAAACTGGAAGAGAGAGGCTGGAGGAAATGAATGCTCCAACACTGGAAGGAGAGAAACAACAACAACAACAACATGGAGAAAGAAATGACCAAGCATAGACTTGCTGGACAACCAAAAGCTTTATTCCAAGGAGGAAATGGAATATTCCTTTCCTTTATTTCATTTATGCAAATAGAAATTGAAAGCCCCAAAAAGGAAATTAGTGGTGATGAACCACATGCAAATATATCGGTAGATGCAATGATACAGGATAAACATTAGCTACAAATGGAAGAAATATAGAGGACAATTATGAGTGAAACAACACCAGAAGAAAGTACTGGAAATATGAATGATTTGTTGATTGAACATATAGAAGACATTGAGCACTGACCAATGCTACCAAGTATGAAGACCAGCAAAGACTGTAGGATATAGTACAAGCATTGGATGAAGCTCTCAAGGAAGCTGTAAGACCAAAACATGTTAATTAGTTGAATGATATAATTTATACTACAGCAACAGTAGCAGCTCAGCACTTTCACATCAAGGCAGTTGAGGATTTGAACCACTGGAAAACTCCCTATATTCAAGAACCCGCATGAAAACAAAGGTTAAACCAAAAGATTAAGCTTTTACAGCAGGATATCAGCCTACTGAATGAATTTTAATATATCATTTGACAAGAAAACAGAAGCGAATGGCCCTGGAGATGAAATATGAGCTGAATGAAAGATGTGAGAGTTGTGAAGGAACAATGCAAATAGAAACTGATCACTGAGTCATAGGTGTGGAATATATTCAGCACAAAGCTGTCAGTACCAAGAGAACAGACTCTTCACAAGATAAACTAAGAGATTCTTTAATCAGATCGACATTAAAAGCAGAATAGGAAAAAACAGAGAGCCAATAAATACTGTGGAAGAATATTAGTGCTCATGGAAGGAAATCTGGTCTGAGGACATACAATCTGCTGTCTGATTTGTTGTATTAAAAAAGTGAGAGAAAAATTTAAAAGCCACACAACGGAGGAATACATAGGAATGTCAACGACAGAAGTAGATGAGGTACTGAAAAGAATGAAAAATCATGGTTCTAATTCAGATAGGGTGCATGGACTCTGCCTGAAATGCCTAACAACTCTCCATAATTACTTACTTGAACACTTAATAAATGTTTGAGAATGGAGTCGAAGATGGTGACAGGGAGAATCATCCATATATTTTAAAAATAAATAAATAAATAAATAAATAAATAAAAGGAAGGGGGCCACCGTGATCCCAATCACAAGTTTACCAACAATGTGGAAAGTTCTTATGGCAATTCTGGATAGTATTAGCATGAAATTGATGCTGCTTCCTGAACAAAAAGCTGAATAGTTCACACAAAAGGCACAAAGACCACCTCAGGCTGAAGAGGAAAAGACATGGACAGGATGTACATCCAACTACGTGACGGAGTAATAGATCACCTGGTTGCAGTAATAAGCAATGGCCAAGTGTGCATCCCAGCCCAGAAAGCACAGAAGAAAAGAGAAAGCAAATCGCCAAAGAAAGACTCAAAAGATTTATATAGAAATCAATGAAGGGATAGTGATGGTGAAGGATCATACCCCTTAGTGATAGAGGATTAACAAACTCATGGCTTGTAGAAGGATATCTCTAAAGAGAATCAGAAAGCCTCACTATGAGAGCACAAGAGCAGTCATTAAGGCTTAATTATGACTGCAACAAAATTGACCAACAGAACTCCTGCCCAAACTGCAGAATGTGTTCCAAAAAGGAAGAGATGGTGGCGCATGTGCTGAGCCCCTGCAAGAGCCTGGCTGGGAGAGAATATATGAACAGACACAACGAGGTTGCCAAGTGTCTGCACTGGAGCCTCTGTGGCAAATTCTCATTTAAATGAACCATGTGGAATTACAACCACTGATTTGAAAGCGCTCGAGAGAATTAAGAAGTTAAGATTTTATGGGAACTGGCAAGTTTCACAGACTGAATGCTGCAGGCAAACAGGCTGGACATAGTTGTTACAGAAAAGAAGACAAACAAGACCATATTAATTGATATTGAGATAACAGCAGCAAAAAACCCATAAAAGATAGCAAAGTATGAAGAACTCTGCCACAAAGTGGAATGATTATGGAAAATTAGAACATAGACAATCCCAGTGATTATTGGAGCACTTAGCGTGATCCCTACGGGTGTGAATGAGCAGCTCAAGAACATGCTGGGAGCACAAGACATCATGGACAGTGACCTCCAGAAGATAATGTTCGCAGGCACTGCGAGAATTTTAGGGAAAGTCAAAGGAGAACGAGAGCATCAGAACATCTAAAATGCAGAAATTCTACAGAGGGTTCAAAAGAACTCCTGACTACACAAAGCTATGGAGTCGCTTCATGGTCAGGATTTACTGGTGACTCAGGGGGTACATTTTAGACAGTAGCTTTCTCCTTTTTATGCTTAAAGATCACGCATGTTGTGAAGGCTATTTGTTTAAAAACCCAAACATCCTGATGATCTAATACTGAGAGATAACAACAACAATAAATAAATTTGCTGATGTTCAAAAACATTCTTCACCTCAACAAGGGAACACATATATCATGGTAGCAGTCCATGGGTGAGATCTGGGGACACAGTTACTGGAAGGCAGTCATGACTGTCACCCCCTACTAAAGCTTCATGATGTTATATATTTAGTATTGTACAGTCACCCAATACGTATGTATTCCCAGCACAGGATAAAGAAGCAGTCATTCTTGCCATCTCCTCTAGCACAGCACAGAGTTAGTATCAAACGCACTACACAATCTCTGAATGAACTGGTCTCACAGACATTTTAGTCAATATTCCAAAGTGATTTTGAATATAAGAACATAAGAATGGCCCTACTGGGTCAGACCAAAGGTCCATCTAGCCCAGTATTCTGTCTACCGGCAGTGGCCAGTCCCAGGCGCCCCAGAGGGAATGAACAGAAGAGGTAATCATCAAGTGATCCACCCCTGTCGCTCATTCCCAGCTTCTGGCAAACAGAGGCTAGGGACACCATTCCTGCCCATCCTGGCTAATAGCCATTGATGGACCTATCCTCCATGAATTTATCTAGTTCTTTTTTGAACCCTGTTATGGTCTTGGCCTTCACAACATCCTCTGGCAAGGAGTTCCACAGGTTGACTGTGTGTTGTGTGAAGAAATACTTCCTTTTATTTGTTTTAAACCTGCTGCCTGTTAATTTCATTTGGTGACCCCTAGTTCTTGTGTTATGAGACGTAGTAAACAACACTTCCCTATCTCCTTTCTCTACACCAGTCATGATTTTATAGACCTCAATCTCCCCTTAGCCGTCTCTTTTCCAAACTGAAAAGTCCCAGTCTTATTAATCTCTCTTCATACGGAAGCCGTTCCATACCCCTAATCATTTTTGTTGCCCTTTGCTGAACCTTTTCCAATTCCGATATTTTTTTTTGGAGGTGGGGCAACCACATCTGCACACAGTATTCAAGATGTGGGCATACCAAGGATTTATATAGAGGCAACATGATATTTTCTGTCCTATTATCTATCTCTTTCTTAATTATTCCCAGCATTCCGTTAGCTTTTTTGACTGCCGCTGCACATTGAGTGGATGTTTTCAGAGAACTATCCACAATGACTCCAAGATCTCTTTCTTGAGAGGTAACAGCTAATTTAGACCCCATCATTTTATATGTATAGTTGGGATTATGCTTTCCAATGTGCATTACTTTGCATTTATCAACATTAAATTTTATCTGCCATTTTGCTGTCCAGTCACTCAGATTTCAGAGATCCTTTTGTAGCTCTTTGCAGTCTGCCTGGGTCTTAACTATCTTTAGGAATTTTGTATCATCTGTAAATTTTGCCACCTCACTGTTTACCCCTTTTTCCAGATCATTTATGAATATGTTGAATAGTACTGGTCCCAGAACAGACCCCTGGGGGACACCACTATTTATTTCTCTCCATTCTGAGAACTGACCATTTATACTTACCCTTTGTTTCCTATCTTTTAACCAGTTACCAATTCATGAGAGGACCTTCCCTCTTATCCTGTGGCAGCTTACTTTGT